TCTTCGCTTTCTTGATTTAGAAATATTTTTTTAACAAATTTTAGCAGTTCTTTGCTTTGCTGAACTTTCATCCGCATTTTCAAGAAAATTTTGATTTCTTTTGGAACTTAATCAAGAATTCAAAAATTGGTGTATGTTTTTGCAAATTTGCACTCTAATTTGCAGATTTATGCGGGAAAATGGTCTGATATTTTCACTTCTTTCCAAGTGACTTTTTCTCCAACATCATGAGTAGAATTATAATTAATAGTAATATACAAAAGTAGATGCATGTTTCTCAAATTTAACATTTTAGCCTTTTCTATTAATTTATTCTGTTTTAAACCTACCAATAATGACTTTTATACAATTAGCAATTAGATTATATATAGATGATGGTAACATTCATATGTTTGACCCAAGATTTATTGATTTAAATGCTTATTTCCCTGAAATCCTTTAATTGAATTTAGAAACTTTAGGGAAAAAAGTCATATATACATCTTTAAGCTAAGCTCTATAATGCAAAACTGATTTACAGCTTTTAGAAATTTCGCATTTCTTTTACAAGTTAATTAATTGATTTTTATACTTTATAGCTGTTGGTTACATAATTACAAGTACACATATTCGTATTTTATATCTATATCTATCTTATTTGGCACTTATAATCTGTTTATGTTAACAGCCATAAAATCCGTTTCCACCAACATCTACAGAGGCTGTTCGCACATTTTTAGACGATTTTGGTAAGCGGTAATAAACACTCGTTTGCTGCAAAAGAAGTAATTGCACTTGTACTATTTCTAAAAGTCAAATTATCTCCGGGCTTGAAAGTTTTGTTTTTATTCAAAATGGCGATTACAAAAGCTGGTTCGAAGGCTACATTTACGCTCGTTCCGAAGAGAAATATGCATACTCCGTTCCCAAATGATGTGAGAGTTCATGGTTTTGTGATATCTAAAGCGTCGGTAGGTAATATCATCCACAGAAAGGAAACAAACGTCAAGTTGGAGCCTCAGTGGGACAAAATTCCAGACAAGTATCCAAGGAAAAAATGGACATTTCGACTATTGCAAAGGTACGTTGGGAATGTTAAAAAGACAGTTGAAAAATTTTAAAATGCTCGGTGTCCACACAAGTGAAACGTGATTTAATCTAAGAAGCGAAAAACGCAATTTGCATCGTCTTCTTCCAAAGCATATCGCTCAACGCAGGACGCTGCAGAATTCTATATGAAAACTATCCAAAGAAAATGGAAAACTGTCCAGTAGAAGCTGGGTATTAAATGATTGTAACAAAAAGAGCTTTATTATCATAAAGGAGAGAAAAAATTTAAGTGAGGTTCAAGCATCGAAAAAGTTTTCTAAGGATTCTATTGTTGGTTTTCTTATATGCCGAAAAATAAAGAGGCAAAAAAATGTCAGATTAACTCCAATCTTTCAGGAACTATTTTACGCCAGTTTGTATGAAGACATCGCTTTACTCACATGCATCCATCTGGCGACTCTAAAACAAGCTAGATCACACATCAAAATCCCTGTAATTTCCTAAAAGAAATGGACCCAAAAACTGTAAAGCAACCCTCAATGATTCCCTACTCATCCCGATTTATTCCTAGATTTTTGTTCGGCTTTAAAAACGATATCCACGTTCCCAAACCCTACCAGACTCTGTAAAGCTTTCGGGAGGAAGGGACCAGACATCTATTCTTCATTCCAAGCGTATATCCGAAATTGCGGTGTCGAAGATGTTCAGAATAGGTTGTCAAATAGAATATTTAAAACACAAGAATTTTATGTAATTTAGTTTGTGAATACAATATACATCGTCTAAAAAATGTGTGAACTGCCTCTGTATATGTATCTATCTCTCGCTGATGCACGATTTGTTTTGAATTCTTCAAGATAATGAAGTGCTGATCCAACATACAAATGATGTATTCATTTGTAGAGAAATTAGGGTCTTTTGAAGCAGGAGAAATGAAGAATGAGCAATGCCCTCGCCGGGACGTGAACCTGGACTTCTCGAATACGTGCTGAGTGTGCTACCGTTACACAACGAAGGCATACAAAAAGGAGGGAGAACATACACTCCCTTTTAAAAAGCGGCTAAGGATTAAGGGACCCAATCCCCAAATCCTGTTGGTGAAGAATTATCGTTCACCATTTTTTAGTTCGGGCGCCACTGAAGAGACATTATGTTATTTTGAAGAAGGAACATGACAAATGAGCAATGCCCTCGACGAGACTCGAACCTAGAACTCTCGAATACGCGCCGAGTGTGCTACCGTTACACCACGAAGGCATATAGAAAGAAGGAAGAAAATACATTATATATTGTTAATAAGTTGCAATAAATAAAAAAGTACTTTCAGTTAGTATTTTTTTAAATGATTCCGTGTTTTTTTTTGGGGGGGGAGTGTTGTTTTTGTTGTTTATTCAAGAATTATTTTGGTCTGATTTCTGTTGTGAGATTATTTTTATTTTTATTCAATAACATTCACACATTTTATTGTAGATCTTCTCCTGAAGTGTTTTTTCAAGCAATTTTGATGAGCTTATATTGTTGCTCGCTGGGGTTCAGTTGAAATCGCCCTAAATAATTAGGCCAGACGAACAGGAAGACTTGAAATTTTATTTAGAAGAAACAGCATTTGCCGATTAGCTAAACGGCAGTAATTAGCCCAAGAAGGAAAACAGCAGTGAAATGTCTTCTTAACACGCAAGGGCTATCACCGAAAATTGCTCAAAGAGCAAAGTCAATCACTGCGCACGAAGCTCAATAGCGAAACTGTTGTCTGACTCTAAATTAAACTGAGTGAGTTAATTTTTCTGGTAGCTTCCTATTTATAGAGTTGCTGGTAGGGGAGAATAAACAAAAGAAGTAAGAAACTTCAAGAAAAGTTGCATCACCAAGCTTTAGTCGCTTCTAGAACATCACCAAGTTGGCGAGAAAACGCCAAATGTCTTTTTGAATTTGGAAGGAAGGCTTATCTTCAATTCTGTCTAAGCTATCCTTAAAATTCAAACATCAACGCCTCAAAATTAAAAGACTTGCAACATAATATATAAAATAAACATATACAACACAGAAATATACTCAGATTCAAAATTAAATAAAATACACAATCAATAAATATAAAATTATTACACAAAATGTACAATAAATAAAAACAAGTACGCAATGATGTAAACGTGCACAGATTTCATGATTCATATGATATTATAATATATTATAACCAAATAAATATAAATATCTCCAAATTTATACAACAGTATGTTAAATGTATTCTCACCCAGGATTTGAATTAAATATGTATCGATTTAGAATCTAGAATGTTCTAACAAATGAGATATTGAAGATGTGGTTTTATTATTATTATTATTATTTAATTGTACTCAGAAAAATTTTTATGCTTTTATTTCTCCGCCTAAGATGCGAAAGGATTCCTGCCAGTAGGTAACATTACGGAGAATTCGCACGAGGACTTTACGATCACTATTAGCATAAGCTAGACTAAATTACTATACCATTAGTTCTTGCACATATTTTGCAAAAATTCAACTTTCGGCCCGTTTTCTCTTATGTCAATAAATTCGCAATTCCATACTTAAGACTGCATTTCGGATAACTTCGGGACATTCTAGATCTTGCCAATATAGTTTAATTTACATTAGCCAAACTTAGAAAGCCTAAAAATATTCGCGCTGAAGAACACGAGGTACGTGTTAGAAAAAAGAAGCATGTAAATCCCCTGCTGCCGAACACTGTTGGTCAGAAAAATCATATTTTCCATTTTCTTGCAGCCAAAATGATTCAAAAAACATCTACCGTTGGCGAATTAGATTTTTTAGAGGCTTTACACATTCATAAAGATATTTTATTTCTGGTTAACAATCCTAATTCCATTTCATTTTTGCCATCTGTTTTTAAAGAAATTATTTCATAGTTATTTTCATTTTTTATCAATAGTTGACGCCAGTAGCTTGACTTCCTTCCTGTCATTGTTAGCGCCTGAGCATACGCTTCTCTTTCGTCATTTGCACTTCTACAACTATAAAGAAAAATGTTCTGTATTTAAAAGTTCGAAACTAGTCCTGCAAATTTTTTATGGTTGATTCTTGTTGCTGTAGCACCTCCTGTCATAGAAATTGGTTTAAGGGTTTTGAATAGATGTTCTAACTTTTCTATTTGACCCCAAGATAGTCGACAATCACAGTGAGGCAAACATGAACTATCATCCGGTCGACGATTCGCTGAATATATTGCACATTCACGCGTGTGCAAATTATTACCTTCTTTTTCTGGCTAAGCTACGGAAGCTAATGATTTTTACCCCTCGTAATTATGACAATTGTGATAATTAAAGCAGTGTGGGTGCATCACTTTGGGCCCTCGAGAACCTAGGAGAGACTGTATCCTTAAATTCTTGCTTTTTATTATTCAGCTTTTTTTGTTGTTGTTGTTTAGTCTAAACAGCAAATTTATCTACTTTAATAACTTGGAATACATTTGCTATAGCTTTTTCTACAATCTCCTTTTACCTGCGCCTCTCCTGTCCAAATTAATGGAGGATATAACTGATGTATCTTTTAAAATTATAAGAATTTTAAATTTCGAACAAAACTACTCTTTGGGCAAGATTTTTAATCAAAAAAAGTTCTAATAAAACGCTTATTAAAATTATCATATTATTATGCTTACTTAATTATTTATTTTATTTTAAACTTGAATAAAGATTAATACAGCTAAAACTTTTCGCGCATAGTGTTTTGGCAAGGAATAGTTATTAATTAATGCTGAAACATTTGAGATAGTAGTAATGTATTGAAAATTATTAAAATGTCTTACTCGGAAATTTTCTTATTTTCAGAGTTCTGATTTCTTATTTTCGTACATATTTTTACTACGTCAAGAATGCAAAAAAATAATATGGCTTCTATTTCAAATTTTTCTGTGAATTCGATAAACAGCTGTTAAAACTAATGCTGATGGTTGATTTAACTTTTTTTCCACAGACTCATATCATTCCAGCGGTGGAAGATCTGGACCCGGATGTCCTGTCCAGTATGACGTCATTGGGTTGTTTCAAGGACAAAGAAAAATTAGTTCAAGAATTATTAAGTACAGCGTAAGTGATTTCTATATTCTTGATGCAAAGTTGAGAAAACCAAACGCGTAATTTAAATTACCCATTCTGAAAATAAGCTTACTCATGCATTGTTCAAAGCACAGCTGAACATGACTAGGTATATCACTGTCTTGGATTTTAGAATTTTTTTTTTTTTTCATTTCTTCAATAACAACGTCCTGGACATATCCTCCGTGACAGACAAGGCATTGCTGACAACTGCCAGATACACTTGCCATGGAGCGACGAACAGTGTCCTGCGTAATACAGCGTGGGCTAAATAAGACCTACCAATGTTAAGCACAATTTTTTTTTATTTTATTTTTTGATATAATTATTTTTTCTTTTTGTAGGTTATAATTGAATTCTTGGAAATTTATTATGGAACCATACAGTACAAAACAACGCGTTAAAATTATCGAGTTTTTCTATTCATGTCAACGATCAATTGTTATGTCGCAGCGTAAATATCGGCAATATTTTAATTCAAGTGTACTGTATGGTGCGGTGTTATGACAAATAGTATTATCGGCCTATATTTCTTCGAGAATGAGGTTGGAACGCTTGAAAAGATTTCCGTAACTTCTTACAGAACAATGATTGAAAACTTTTTGCGGCCAGTGGCGGAGCAGAATCCATTTTTATGGGGATATTTAAAAGACAAAGTGTATGTTAATAAACCAGAGAATATTAGACTGCTGAAGCAGAATATTCGAGACAAAATACTGAACCTTCAACCAGAAACATTCCGTGGTGTAATGAAAAACGCGTTAAAAAAAGCCAATCTCTGTACCGAGAAAAATGGTGGACATTAGTCTGATGTCATTTCTTACATAATTTCCATAAAATATATTTGATGTATAAAAAATTAATGAAAATAAATGATTATTGCAAGAGTTATCCGTGTTTAACATTAGTAGGTCTTCTTTGGCCCACCTTGTATATGCAGTTTCTTGATGAAATTGGTTTTAAAGGTGTTAATATCGAATAATGCCATAACGGAAACGTAAGCTGTTATATGTCCCATGAAACTGGAGCTGTAGTATGTCCTATGAAATTTGAGCTGTAGTATGTCTCATGAAACTAGAGCTGTAGTATGTCCTATGAAACTTGAGCTGTAGTATGTCTCATAAAACTTGAGCTGTAGTATATCCCATGAAACTTGAGCTGTAGTATGTCCCATGAAACTTGAGCTGTAGTATGTCCCATTAAACTTGAGCTGTAGTATGTCCCATGAAAAGGTTTGCTACATTTCGTATGAGACTTCAGTTTAGTGACATTCAATGATTCTCCTTCATTTTCTTGAAGATTTGCATTTTCAGCATTCTAGACGATCAATACAATTGGCGCTTGGAACAAGTGGATAAAGAGACCACTTATTTACCCGTCATGAAGTGCGCTCCGCAAAGGATAGTTAATTCGAATCTGCTGAATTTTACAGTCGAATGCATTCACCAGCATTCTTAGCATTTTCTTAATTTATGAGGTGATTCGATAAAAGTGACGGATTAATTTATGCCCAAGAGAATACTTTATTCTTAGAATATAGAAAATTACATACTTAGTTTTATAACAACATATTTTTGCATACTCACAACAGGTAAATATTCCAAATAAGAATGTCAAATTTTATCTGATCTGGCAGCATTGGAATTTTATCACTGTTCGTTGCATCACATTTCATAGTTTCGTTACATCTTCGTCCACATGGAGCGGCACTCACAAAAACAGCGAGTTTTGATTACGTAAATTCATTGCCAGAAAGATGGCAAGCGTTACGCGCAGACTGTTAGGATGCTTCGTGCAATCTTTGGATGTGGATGTGTACCTACTAATGTGTATTACTGAACAACAGTTTGCAGATTGATTAATACTAAAACAAAAGGCAAAGGACTTTAAAATTTATACCAAATGTTTCAACTAAGTTGATATCATCGTGCTTTACGATTACAACTGGACATGGTCCATTTCTAACATATTTAAATAGATCCAAACTCAAAGATACCGTCATTTGTAATTGTGGTAAAATAGGGAGTCCCGGCCATTATGTTTTAGAATGTGAATATAAAAAAGAGCGTCACTCAAATAAACCTTCAAATCAATACTGGAAAGAATGGACCCAACAACCTATTACAACATTCTGCTTTAACCAAGCTTCAAAAACAACAGAATACTGTATCAATCATAACAAATAATTTCAACAATTATTTTTATCAACTAATTTCTTTTTGGATTCTAATGTTAAACGACTATAATCTGTTATATACTTTTTATTCTTTGTTTCGTATATATCAAAATTAACTAAATTGTACAATCATTTATAAAAAAAACTATAATATTCGTACTAAGATCTAAATTGAAACTAGAACTAATTTGTTTTATATCATACAACCAAGACCCTCTGACATTACGATCATCTGAAACATCGAACATTATTTACGAAATCTTTCATCAAAAGAACTTAGAACTTCAGAACTCTCAAGAACTTTTGATCGATTGAACTTTATTACTACAGAAATTTCACTGAATCTTGAACTATTGAAATTCATTAATAATAAAATTGAAATACATATCAAAATTAGCTCAACGTAGCATGTAAATGCGAAGAAGATTGTAAATAACTTTCACTGCCATGAAAAAATATTTATTGTAAAAACTCTCTGTAAAAAGGATCTTCTCAATAAATAATTTCCGCTGGGTGGGCTTTCTCCGTTAGGTATCACCTTAGGGCGGAAGCACTCTCAGTGGTGCAAAGTACAAAGTTTGCAGATTGGTAAAGAAATCAGGGGACACAAATTTGATAGCAGACATAAAATCCTCACGCGTCGCCAACCGGACAGTGGTTAGTGACGTTGACTGCCGTATCGAAGAGTCCGAGCTCGAATCCCGAAGAAGGCATGGATGTCTGTAAATGTACAGTTTCTGTGCGACATGGGAGTATTCTAAATATGCGGTGAGCCAAAAGTCCTCTCGAGAGGTTCGTGGTGGGAAAAACCTCCGACCCGTGCCCCCGGGTGTCCTCTTTTCAAAAATGGGGGGGGAGGGTACCTGAGGTAAAGTCTGTCTGTCACCTATATGGTGCTCAATGCTCTTGCCAACGACAGGCGCATATGACTGCTTGCCACGATGAGTGTCGTGGGCTTGTGCTGACCTTTGTCAGACAAGAGAGATTGGTAACAACAAGAGCAAATCATCACGCTCTCGATCTGGCTGACCTGTTGAAAACATCTCCGGAACCGATTCACTAAACTGATTAAATAATCAGAGCTCCGGCGAAAACGGAACGGCAGTTCTGTAACAGTTCACCGAGAGCTCTTGTCGGGAAGCGTGCCAAAAATGTGATTCCTTTTAATGTAAACAGTGACAGTCTTTCCTTTAATATTTACCGGAAACGTCTCTGACCTATTTTTTATATGTGTCTGTATGTTTTGTATGCATATATGTGTGCTTTTTGCTTGTGTTCCATCTAGTATTTAAGAAACAAACATTAAATAAACCGACGCATCTCAACGAAAGTGATCACTTCTGTTTGCAAGTGGATGGAGTCCCCCTCTCCATCTAGCAATGCTAGGATCTATTTAAAGTAGATAGATTATAAGAATTAGTTTCTCGTATTCCCAACTGTCGGCTTTCTGGCGCTCCGACATCAGTCACAGATCTGGGGCGGGTGGCGATTGGCCTCTCGAGGACAAATGTCCAGAACCGACGGCGTAGCGGGAGGAGACCTGGCGTTTGATCCGAGGACCAATCTGCCGGTCCTTGACCCGGGGATCGGATGTACGGAACCGGCTGGAAACCACTGTAGGCGGCGTGAACCGTGCGCGGGAGATCGTCGTAGGCAGTGGCAGAAGGCAGGAGACCCGGCGTTTGATCGATGGGCAGGGACTGTGGGAATGGTTTCAGGTTCGCCTGCTTGCGTCTCCCACAGCTCAGCGTCAGCCTCCTCGTGGCCTCGCTGGAAACTATACGGCGCCTTGGTCCAGGCCTTGGCTCGTATAGGCTAATGACGCTAAGCAACCCATCCCAAGGGATCGACTGGTGTGAATTTCCGGAACCGACCATTTATGGGAGGAGACCCGGGGTTTTCCCAGACCACTGACTGGACTTGTGTCCTGTCAGCTTCGATTCGTTGAGGTAAATAATTATTCTTCACAGGACTAGAACCATAGGTCCATACTATGGTAGGCGCGGGCTTGGCAGGGACCGTACTGGTACTGTCGTGTCCGTTGCCTTCGCTGTGGGAGCGTTAATCATGTGGATATTAAGCGCTGTGCCGGGGAAGACGGCTTCCTGCGCAGCCCTTCGTGTGATGGATTGGGGCGATGAACATGTGAAGTCCCTGCGGGCTGTTCGGTGGGTTGGCATCCCGTCGGCACAGTCGTCCGAGGGAGGCTGTATAAACATGTAAGGCGCTCAAAAGAAGCTGCCAGGGAATGTAGCCCGACTTGGTGTTAATGTTCTAAGTCACAGATGTGGGTCCTTTGGAGTCGTGATTATAGGAGCGGTTTTCATCGCTCCTATAACGGTTCCGATCTGACTCCTTAAAGGAGTTATTTTGGCCATCTCTAATTGCAAGTTCCAAAAAATCCGAACTTAAAGAGAAACAACAAAAAGAGAAAATTAAATGCATCATTAGCCACTTCGACAGGCAGATATGTGAAAAAGTGTTTGTGAATTTCGTCGAGAGCGCGCTGCTGAAAAGCAAATTAGTGAGGACATACACCATCCATTATTTGACATTCTTAAATCAGAACATTTACCTGTTGTAAGTTTGTTAAAATATTTTCAATTTTCTGAATATAAAGTTATTTTACTAGATCTGTTAAATCCGGCGCTTTTGTTGGGACACCTTATATTTATCAATAAGCCCATTGTATGGGAACTGTAATTCAAATTGCTTAAAATGTTTCTCAGTGGCTAAAGGTGTCAGACGAAAGATGATAAATTTCAACACTGGGACACTAGCTGGCATATTAAATATCCTTTAAGACTGGCAATACATTTATAATATCTACTTAATATTTCTATCGCCTATTTATGAAAGAGTGAATTCTAATTTTTATTCTACTGTTCATTTCTTCTTATTCCTGCATGTATATAACAAAAACGAATGTATCATTTTTGTTTCAGTTTAATGTCATACATTTCGAACTCACTTAATTGCACATTTCACCATATCATTCATTTTTCTTTTTTGGCAGTCATAATACAGAGAAAGTAGTCTATTTCCTGCTGCTGGACCGGAAGCGGCGGAAACCTGCTTACGAAGATGAAACGGAAGTCATCATTAGGAACAGGTCTGAATCAGGTAACTATGGCGTCTGTTTAGCTAAATTCACCGCGAAATGAAATGCCAGGTCATAGAGTCAGCCACTCGAGGCCACCATTTCTGTTTCAAAATTTAATCTACTCTACTCCAAAAAGGGGTTTTTTTCGTTTTATTTTTGGAAATGACAGTTGATTGACTTCTTTTCAGAAGTCTTACATTTAATTTTCCTGTTCAAGTTTCAGCACGACTGTGCTGTTAGTAAGTCGAGGTTTTGTTGCCGAAATCATTTAAATTGATTACTAAATTTAATAATCATTTTCTAAATTAATCCATTGAAAATCATGTAAACTTGTTTCTAAATAAATACGTTAAGAATTATTTTAAATAACTTAAAATTTAACTGTAAAAATTATTTAAGAATCTTAAGTTGATAAAAAGGAACTTCAAATAAGATATACTTGTTATTTGAAATTTTATATTTATCAGTTTCAGTCTCTTAATTTGCTGTAGTTGTTATGCTCAATGAATACATAGGTAAGTTTAATAACGTAAATGATAATTCCAGAATGGTTTAAGCATATTTTAATTCGCAATAATAAAAGAAGACGTTTAGAATTACAATATCAAAGAGAACTCCGTTTTATTTACTTTCTTTCTTGTTGCAAATCTAGAGAAACTAAACTTTGCAGCAATTTCTTAGTCAGTAAGTTTTTGTTATCAAAACATTATTTTGAAGTCTGATTAAAAGATAAAGTTTTACATTAAAGCATTAAAATATCAAACATCTCCACAAATTTAACATGGGAAACTCTTTTAGACATGAACAGTGAATAAAACGGGCCCAGCCCGCTAATAATGATATTATGCGTAGAAGGATGGATTGGATTATTCAATTATGGCAAAGCACACGAGGGCTATCTGCCTAAAGGGAGGGACGCCTTCGTGGAGGACTTTCTAAGGGAAACTGGCTCCTATACACCATAGACATCGGGAAAACCACGAAAACGCCCATGCAGCCAGCCCGTTCGCGGAATTCGAACCTCGGACCGAACTACCAGTGTTCAATGACTTTACGGCTCGGCCGCTGGTGGGCTGTGCGTAGAAGGAGCTGATACAAATCTAATTCACTCTCTTAATTTATAAAAATAACGTAAAAATGTCATTTTAAACTTATATATATCAATTTCAGTCTTAATGTTTTTAATATATGTAGCAAAAATAATTGCGTTTTCTTAATAATACTAGTAAAATAATGATTCTCATAATAATGTCTAAATAATTGTCTTACGTCGCAAATGATTAAATCTATCTTTACGTTAAAAAAAGAAAACTTATCATTTTTGTAGTTTAGTAATTATTATTTATTTATTCTTTTTCTACTTAAGGTATGTGCCACCATAAGAAGCACTTTTTTTTAAATACATAAAATTTAATTAAACACACATGTTTTTGAGTAAGATGGGATATAAAACTATGAATTTAAGTGGCAATTTATGAAACGTTTCATTAATTTTTTTAAATATAGGCAATATTTAGTAAAATTTTAGTGAAAATTTTCATTTACGCCATATCTCCTAAAATAGATTCTAATAAGTATACTTCAATAATCTTTACACAGTATATAAAAAACAATACTTACCTGTGTTCTGTAGCAAAAGATTGGCTGTACTTATGAAATTTCTTGAAATATTCAAAACTTAGTACAAAAAATTAAAGCCAAAAAAATCCTCTTTTCTTCAAAATACTGTCAATAAAATCCATTTATAAATACAAAGAGGTCAGATTTTGCTACAGAACACAGCTAAAGATGAATAAAACATTTTGGCAAAATTTCATTTCAATATTCTAAATACATTTTGAGAAATTAACGTAATCGCAATCAAAAGTAATGAAAAACACAGTTTCTCAGAAAATGCATTTAAAGATTTTAATACAGCACAAAAAATTTTGTAGCCATTTTAGACCTTTAAAACTCGCCGTATTTGTATGTTAGGGCCCTCTTTTTACTTCATTCTTAACTAATTTTTCTTTCCTTTAGCATTTTTCTGGACAACTTTGTTGCTTGTAGAGATTGCCGTTTCGATTTCTGAATTCGCTGTTTGTCTATTCCCATGTAGCTTTCAAGTATAATGGGATTCATTTCTATTTCTATATATCTTAAAATAGGTACAAGGTCCTAAATATCTTGAATTAAATAATAATACAGCAATATGTGCACCTAAAAGCAATGTTTTCAGTTGGACAAAAGTTTCTTTAGATAAAATAGTCCTCAAAAGGTTGTTAAAACACTCATTATTGTTTTGAGTCCTCCCATGTAGGCATTTTATCAGCAAAGTGTCACACAGTGAAAGACGTGTTGCTTTTACAGCTTTTATATTGTTTAATAATTAGAAAATAGTTGTTTAAACTTACTGTTTACATTTTTACGACCGTTTAAATGCCAACTTCCGGCATCCATAAATTCACTTCCGGTTTATTTTTTATAATATAACTTTTCTTCTAGTTATTGTAAAAACAAAAATAAAGCATTTTTGGAAACCTAAATGTGTGGCCTATAAAATGAATAAATAAAAAACTTTCGAAAATTTTCACCAAAATGACGAATTTAGGGTAGGCACATACCTTAAGTGTATTTCGTGTATCTATTATACGCAAAAGTTTTTTTAATTAAAAATCTGATTCAATTCCTTAATTACATTCTAAATCTTATAACCTCGCTCTGATAATAACAGTCCTAAGATTTCAAATTCAGTCACAAATAAGTGTAAGAATACCGTATTAGCCCAAACGTAACACAGCTTTAAGCATAAAATTACTTCTTAAAGCCGCGTTACAAGAAGCAAAAGCGCTTTTTCACATGAGACGGTGTCACATATATCCCTGAGCGTTCAGACTGCAACAAAGGCAAATTCCAAGATAACTAAGCTTATTTTAGAGATCTCTTATAATATAAAGATGAGATTATTAAAATTTCAGATACGTTGAGCAATGAGAATTGTGCTATAATCAGTATCGAATATGGCTACCATGAACAAAAAACAGTTGTTGCTATAAGTTAAGGCGTAGAACCGAAGAGACACTGAAATACATTTTGAGATGTTGCAATAAAAACATCTATAATTGGATGTCCGAGTTTAGACGCTAGTGATCCGATCCCTGTCGGCTAAGTAATGTGTGTCATAAATTAAATATTTCAATCGAAGAATGATTGGATGAATGCGTCAGCCGAAGCAAAACAGTAATCTGCGCACATATGTATGCGCATGTATGTTCTTTCTTTATGCATCCTATGACATCTTGCATAAACATCAGTGCGCAGTTTCCTAAACCGATTTGCAGAATTAGGTTTTTGTATTCGCTTCTTCCTTTCTCCTTATTCCAAAATTCGCTACCCTTTTCCCCCAAATAAAAGATGAAAATAATTAAATTTTTCTACAGTGTACTTGAATTTTTTTTTCAAACACAACAATATTCGAGCACAAATCATTTATAAAAATCTTTTCCTCGAATATTATGAAGCAACCTCTAATTTCAAATTAGTAAGCAAGTGGCTGTGAGAAAATGGATTGCCCTTTCTTAAAATTTTAATTGTGACGTCTGTCATCAGATTTCAAATTACATCCCCAGCTTTGTGTATAATCTACAATGCGCATAATCAAAACGTGTACCATTTACATAATTGTTCTGGATATAATTTTCTACATATTTATTTTTCTTTATTTTTTTCTATACTTGAACACCATTTTTTAAATAAGTCAAAGAGTGCTGGAAAAAAGCTGTGCAATTAAATTAATTCAATTAAAATTACATCAGCTTATTTTGCTTTTTAATATGGAATTGCTATCGTTTTGCGAGCGGTAATTTTGCATGAGTGTCATCACATTCTGAAAGATGACTGCCCTTTTGATGTTTACATTTTAACTTTTTCGAGTGTTTGTTTCAATGATAAAATACTAAATTGAACTAAATTGTGGCAGCAAGTTAATGCTGTAGCATAAATCAGTAATACACAGGATTTGAAAAATCGTTTATGGATTGTAATAAAATATATAAATGTCAATAATTCTGTGCAGAAGAAATTTATCAAAACCAGTTTACTGCTAACAAAGATCTAAGTCAATCGCCTTCTAAATCAGTAGAATTTTATTTAAAATATACATAAATCTAAAGGATTTAATTTTTTATTTAAAATTGTATTTATTTATTTATTTATCTATTCTTAATAATGTATAATGTGTCTCTATTCCTCTGTTTACTGTAAGCAATGTGCTATTTTGATTCGAAAGATAAATAAAAGCTTATGCAATGTGGCAATGCTATAGTTCTTGGAATTAGCAATCTGCCAAGTGACATAGGCAAGCGAGTGAATTGCGATTTAGTAACGCAGAACTTTTTTCTAGTTCTAACGGCAAGGCAAAATACAACAAGAAGTTCAAAGACAGGACGTAACAGAAGTGACTGAAAGTCACTGGCACGCCAATATCGGGTGGTCTCGGAGTCATAACCAAGAAGTGCCCCACAGCGACGAAGACAGGCTCTATTCACGGGTTCCATAAGATCATAGAGTGGGCAAAATTGTTCAGTAAATATACCAGTTTGGTAAAGATGTTCTCCCAGTCAATTATGGCCTGTAAGTAGCCCAAAAAGAGCCATGGCATTACGTCGTGGATATTCTGGCCAGGCAAGTGAGATCTTCAGCCTTCCATTGCTTCGTCTTAAAGCTACCCAACAATTTCAACTGATATCTTTGTTTAATAGACTGTTTTATATTTAGTTTTATTGAGTGAAATGACATATTTGAGTTTCCTGATTGTAATAGTGATGCACCTTCTCGTGCCATGAATTCCGCCTGTTCATAACCATAGATGCCTGTGTGTCCAGGGATCCACCGTATTCCAGTTTTCTTATTTTTCTGCAATAGGATTCGAATTAATTCTCGGCAATGTAGAACATCTGTTGATATAGAGACAATCACTTGAACTGCTACTGTTGAATGTGATAAGAGGACATTCTCGAATTTATAATGCAACTTCAATAATTGTTTTAGGGCAATACTAAAAGCCTCTGCCTCACCATCAAATGCATTTCGGCTTTTTCCAGCAGAAGCATAGAAATAAAAAAGGATAGAATAAACACCCAAACTTTCAAACATTAGATCATCACTATATGACTCGTCTGTATAAACATACACCCTGTTATGATTCGGGTATTTGGTATTAACGGTTTCCAGAACAAGGCATTTCAAGACACCTATGCATGTTTCATTATTGGTACTAAATCAATCTAGTTAAGGTTTGTCTTGATTTCAAACATAGAAAGAGGGTTTATTGTTGTATTCGATCAATCAGAGCACATTCCTTTCTGATTTTACGAACTTCTGTAGGAAGCCACGCTGGGTCTTAAGATTTTTAGTTGAGTCCCGATAATTAGTCCATGAAGAATCTCCAACACGAAGCATTTTTTCATATAAGATAACAATCTTCTCTTCAGTAATAGTTTTTACGGGCAATTGTTTTGTTAGCAGTAGCATAGCTTCAATAGGGATAGATTTAATAGCTCCTATAATGAGTCTCATTCCATGATTTTGAAAATTTTCGAATTTCTTGAAAAATCTGCTCACTCATCGTTATGAATGGCTCACAGCAATGTGCGATTAAAGGTAATACGGATGTCTTGTAAGTAATATTTAGAGTTGTAACATAATGTAGTGAAAATGGCAAAATTAAATTATACATGATTCTGAATCTCCAAACAAACAGAACCTCTAGCATTTTGTTACCATCAATTATAGGAATATTTAGTTAATTTCTTTTTAATTCCATAAAAAATAAATTCATTTCACTAGAAATAAGGTTAATTAGAAAATATGTATTATAACATAGCATTACAAGTATGCATACGACTCGTTATACTCCGTGGTATGCAGTGACCCAAAATGGCGTCTAATGTGTCTTGCATCCTAATGGTTCGTGAAGAGTTTCTGGAAATGAAGAACTACCGAGCAGCCATTTTGAATCTCAGCTGAATTGTTGATCAAATATAGCAATTTTCCTTTCCCTTTAAATTCATTTATATTTGTGACTCCTTCTCATGTAAAAAAACTGTTGTCTTGTAGTTTGCTATGTAATGAAGATCAAAATATCCTTGAAAAAAATTGAAGATTCATGTTTCAGTTACTTAGTGTTTGTGGTTCTAAGGTTTTCCACCAGATCTACTGATATTTAATTTGCAATATGATAATATATAAGTATCATACGATAATATGTAATGTTTAATAATATGATAATATGAAAGAAACAGTGTAATATATCACGTAATTTCAATATTATTTCACTCTTCTGATCATAGCTTTCTCAACATCTCTTCCTTGTACTGTACCAGCTGATCCTCCTAGGAAAAGGGTCGATACCTGTCAAATTAATGGCAGATCAGGGCCTAGGTAAGTAATTTCAAAAAGCAATCATATGAAATGAAACTGTATAACTACTACACGGCTCCATAAATGATTCATGCCTTTTCAAAACACTATATATTCAAAAATAAATAAACGCAAACTACTAAGTTCCTATACCAGTATTGTGACGGGTGCAAGTTACCTGGATATGATGCAGTCGTGGTTATTTCCACAATTGGCTGCTGATTCCAGGTATTTTGTCTTCCAACAAAACGGGCACCCCCTCATTGGAACATTCCAAGTTCGCCGATACCTGAATGATGAGTTTCCGCATCGCTAGATTTGGCATGATAGTGAGGATGACCTCGCATTTTTTCCCTTGGCCACGCGGGCCTCCGTATCTAACGCCTTGTAATTTATTCCTTTAGGGGCACATTAAAACTTTTTTATATACCCTTCCCATGACCATTGGAAGAGCTGAGAATAGGTCAGTGTTGCAGGATGGAACTACAAAATGTGTGGAACGAGTTCAACTACCGTCTAGGCCTGTGTCGTGGTGCATATAGAATATTAGTAGCATGTGCGGAAAACTTGGTGAGTTTGCGGTTATTTTCGTTCGTTCACATGGATTCGAGAGCGAGCAAAATGGATATTTTCGTTGATACCCGAAATTTTTCGTAATTACAATACTTCCTTTACTTCCTTTAAGGAAGTAAAAATGCATGGCCTTCTTAGCATATTTGTACGCTGTATACATATTTTCGTTGATACCCGAAATTTTTCGTAATTACAATACTTCCTTTACTTCCTTTAAGGAAGTAAAAATGCATGGCCTTCTTAGCATATTTGTACGCTGTATACTTTTGATAATACACAGCGTTTTGAAAATGAATGAATCTTTTATCGTAGCCCTATATAGTCAGTTGTAAATATAAAAAAGGTATACTGTTATTATTTTTTATATCGATATGTAATCCTAACTTCTGTCCGAATATTTACGGTATTTTAAATAAGAGCAAAAAATAAATAAACAGCAATGTAAATGTTGTTTGATACATTTTCGCCCTTACGTATATATTTTTCTACACAATATTTTGATATCTAATTAGCTTTTCATAAGCAACATAACTTTTTAATTCAAAATTTCTGAGGTTTCACTAAACACATTCTAAGCAATTATTTTTAATCTCCAGTTTATGTTGGTACTAAAATTATTAACGCTCAATTTTTCTAATACATTGGAAAGAATATTTTTAAAATATTCAAAGAAAATAGTGCATGACGCCTTATTTTAAACTAAAATAACTTTGAAGCATATTTATATTATTTATATTTCTTTTACATTTATTTTAATATTTGTCTCTTAATTCTCTTTAATTCATTTAATTGCGTTATTTTTCGTACATTATTTATTATTTATTTAATATTTTCTTATTTTACCTGTTTGTTTATTTTTTATATGCTTTTACATACTTACTTATTTACTTATTTTTCAGTTAGAATCTCAATGCTTTTCATTAGGCTTCCCATACCTTTTAGAAATTAAGCCCTAGAAATGGATATTTACAGACTGCTGACCCTAGAGTCCGATTAGCATATTATTAAGTATCTAAGGAGAGAGATAAAGACGTAAGCACCCGCCTATTTTGTTTCGAGATATCCACATTTCGTACAATATGTTATTTTGTTTAAAATGATTTCATCTGTTTTTGTTTCCTCCTAATCAAAGATCTTTAAGTCCATAATTGTGTAATATGCCATCATAATGTCTAGTCTTATTCAAGATGCTAACGCCTTTATGAGAATTGAGTATTCAAGCAAAATCCTCACACTGATGTTCCGACATAAAAATGTCATTATGAAAACATGCTTATTTAATCTTGGCAACCGTTCCTGAATAGCCAGTACCTTTATTGATAATCTTCATTGTAAAAGTAAATACCTGATGCGGATATCACACGACTTCCTTATACGGTCTATTAAGTTATACACATTTTTGCTGTGCTTCATTTAAACATATTTCCTCGAATTTCAATAGATATTCAATGAATCCATTTCTCCTATCGTGGCGAGGCAAAAATACACAAAAACTCAAAACATTTTCATTAAAAATTGTTCAAACACAGAAAAACTTAAAACATCAAATACAACAGTTAAAAACAAATTTTTAAAAAATATAGTTAAAATTAGAGTTTCTACGCCCAAACAAATTCAAACGACAGAAAGACAACATCTTCGATGCACAAAATTGAAATTTAACTTTAAATTCCCTGGGTAGAAAGACTCTGAAGTTGGTGCACCAGCTGACTTAAGTTGACCTTTCTACTAAAAGTTTCAAAATGTTAATAAATGGCAGCCCCGTTAGGCTTAACTCGCCACTTAAACATTTAAATTGTTTATAATTCTATAACTATATCATGCATTTTAACTAAAAGAGAAAATTTAACTCGCATAAGAATAAAATCAAACTTTGCAAAAATCACATTACACATATAAAAATAAAAAACTCTTTTTTTAGCAGAAAATTTCGACAAATCCTTTGAAGGATTTCTAAATTAACGTTTATTTTATTTTAAATCTTTACTATCACTTCTTATTTTCTACTTCCGGCCAGAATTATAAGCGTGAAGGAGTTTATGCAAAGTTTGTCTGGCGAACGCCAAGTATTTAAGTGTGGCCTTTTTGCCAAGCAGAAGAGAGGAAGCAGTGAGTTCGAAGCAGGCCGCTTACCTTAGAAGTTACGCAGTTGCTACTTTGCCTTCCAGGCCAGAGGTTTTAATCCTCTTGATAAATTAAACGTATTGTAGTGTTCACAGTCTCTGTGCTACATACGCTTCCTGTTATTATAAGGTATAAGGCCAATCGTTATTATTCTAAAGTTAAATTAGAGTTTAGTTTTATTTTGATATCTTTTACGTTAGACCCCGAGTGGAGGGTCATTGTATTCCGAAGTACGGAAGTCATTGTATATAAAGAAAAATAAAGGGTTTTGTATACCCTTCGTCTGTATCCTGTCTACTTACTACAATTAGTGAACATAGCTTTAGTAAGCTCTCTGTTCCTAGTCAGGTCCATTGTATGTTTCCGAAGAAGGTTAGAAGAAACATTGAACCTGATAGTGGCGCCCGACGAAGAAGAATAACCATGGCCGAGTTTCAAGAAGAACCTGTGCTGCCTGCAGAAACGGCTCAGAATCCAGAAATGCCAGCTGCCGCCCTGGAAGGATTTGGGTACATCGTCCAGACCATGCGCGCTTCGATGAAACCAGAAGCAACGTTTAATGGAAACTCACCAGGTAACCAGTTTTTTGGAAAAATTGGATGACCACTTCATGCTCTCTACCCCGTGCACGAGTTTCAAAAAGTTACCTTAGCTACCAGCGCTTTGAGGGGCCAAGCGCTTAACTGGTTCAAATGTATCGGCAGAAGTCTCTTGGGTCAAGCAGGAAGTCCCACCTATACTTACGAAAATTTCAAGACTGCCCTACTAAAAGCCTTCCCTGTTGTAAGGGATCGTGCGAAATTAGAAACGGAACTTTTCAGTATATATCAACAAAGAATCGAAAACCTCTCGAGCTTTATTTTAAGAAAAATTCACGTTTTCAAGCTCTTGTATGGAAACCGTCCGGATCCTGAAATAATTCAAGTGATTTTGCCGAGGTTACTACCCCAAGTGCAAGACTTTATTGAATTAAGAAATCCGACTACACTGGAAAAGTTATTTGAGCTAGCAATCCAGTTTGAAAGTAGAAGAACGGCGGACGTCGAAAGAAGACGCCAATATCAACAGCGAAACCAATTTGGTACGCCAAGACTACAGCAAACTCAAGCACATGGCTACGGGGAAAAAGCGAATCAGTGGGCAAGGAAACCCGAGCATTCAAAAACAGCCGGCGAACGTCGACAGTTCAATAGCAACCCAGGAAAAAAGTCTCAAGGCCAGTGGAGAAAGAAGGAAAGCACCGAAAGGAAAAATAATTTAAACTAAAACGGATTTCTGCTGACGAGAGGGTGCGGAAATCCGAAGGCCACGAAAACCCCTCTTCCTACAAGTTAAATACAGTAATGGTGAAAAATTTGACTCTTCCGAAGATTGAAGTCTTGGTAAATAATATCCCGGCCACCGCACTCCTGGATACCGGCGCGCAGTGTTCCTGTGTGGCAGAAGTCTTTTTTAGAAAGTATTTTCGCAAATACCGCATATATAATGCGGATAATACGACAGTATTAGCGGCGCAAGGAGAACAATGTAAGTGCGTAGGTAAAGTACCTTTGTACATCCGTATCAAGGACGAACAAGTAAAGGTGATGTTTTTTATAGTAAAGAATTTGCAAGCACATTTAATCTAGGAATAGACTTTCTTTCAGACGCACAAGCTACACTGGATTTTAATGAAGCGTCCCTTAAGCTGACGATGAAACCAGTGCGTGTAGAAAAGGTTGAACCGCCAAGGTTAAATCTTGACCACCTGCCTAATGACGAGCAAGATAGAATCCGACAAGTGGTAAGTGAATTTGCTTCCTTATTTAGTGATATTCCAGGATTTACTCAGGTTACTAACCATAGTATTGACACCGGAGATGCATTGCCGGTTCGTCAAAAACCATACCGGTATGATAAGAATAAGGAAAAAATTATAGAATGGCATATTACCGATATGCTACGTAAAAAGATCATAACGCGCCATCTCAAGTAGTTATGCTAGCCCGGTGGTTTTATGTAAGAAAAATAATGATTATCCTTTGGAGCATCCAAAAAGGTGGAGATTCGCTATTGATTACCGTAAATTAAATTCCATAACGAAATATCCGGTATATCCGTTACCGATTATAGAAGAAATTTTAAGGAACATAAAATCAACCAAATTTATGACGACTTTAGACTTAACGAATGGTTATTTTCAAATAGGGGTCAGGCCTGAGGACGTGCCTAAGACTGCTTTTATAACCAAGTCTGGCACTTATGCATTTTTGCGTATGCCGTTTGGCCTTTCAGGCGCCCCAGCAACATTTCAGCGATGCATGGACATTGTGTTAAGACCTGTT